TACTGGAGAGCGCGAAAGCGCAGAGGATGAGGCGTCACCCCGCTCGACACTGCAATCGAGCGGGGGCGACGGGGCAGCCATTGCGCTGCCGACGCAGACGGTGCTTGGGCCAGGTGTGGCATTGCAACCAAAGCCGCAACAGCACCGAGAAAGGTTGAGCCACGGTCGGTGCCCCAAATGTAGCTCAACCGAAGGCCGTAGAGGCTATGCGTACCCAGGCCCTTTCCTGCACACCCCTCACACGCTCCGTGGCCCAAGAGGGAGCGCCACCGAAGGCCCCAGTGGCAGGTTTCACATGTGTCCCAGGTCTATTTCGGCACATCCCCACACGCTCCGTGGCCCAAGAGTGAGCGCCACCGAAGGCCCCAGTGGCAGGTTCCGCATGTGTCCCAAGTCCATTTCGGCGCACCCCTCACACGCGCTTCGTGGTCCCAAATGGAGCTCCACCGAAGGCCCCAGTGGCAAGGTTCACATGCGTCCTCAGGCCCATTTCGGCACACCCCTCACACGCCTCGTGGCCCTGTAGGGAGCTCCACTGAGGGCCACAGTGGCAGGGTTCACATGCATCACCAGGCCCATACGCTTCGTGGCCTCATATGGAGCTTCACCGAAGTCCCCAGCGGCAAAGTTCACATGCGTTCCCAGGTCTATTTTGGTACGCCCTCGCACGCTTCCTGGCCCAATGGGGAGCTTTACCGAAGGCCCCAGTGGCAGGAGGCTTCACATGCGTCCCCAGGCCCATTTCAGAACACCCCTCCTACGCTTCGTGACCCCCATAGGGGACTCCACGGACGGCCCCAGCGGCAGGGTTCACATGCTGTCCTCACACGCTTCGTGGCCCTATAGGGAGCTCCACACCCCTCACACGCTTTGTGGCCCTGCAGGGAGCTCCACCGAAGGCCCCAGCGGCAGGGTTCACATGCGTCCCCAGGCCCAGTCGGGCCCAATTGAACATGACGATAAACATGACGATGGCAATGCTGGTTATTGTTTGGACGAGGATGAGGTTGAAGATGAGGAGGTGGATGCAGATGATGGTGACGCTGATGATGATGATGATGATGATGATGATGGTGGTGGTGGTGGTGGTGATGATGGAGCTGCTGCTGCTGAGGATGATGCTGCTGATGATGCTGGTCATGGTGGTGGTGGTGGTAATGATGATGATGATGATGATGATGATGATGATGATGATGATGATGATGATGATGGTGATGCGGGTGATGATGATTATGCTGATGATGATGATGATGATGATGCTGATGATGATGATGGTGGTGGTGCTGTTGATTATGATGCTTATGATGATGACGATGATGCTGATGCTGATGCTGATGCTGAGTACGATGATGCTCATGGTGTTGATGATGCTGAGGCCCATGACGATGTTGATGCTATGCTGATGCTACTGATCATTATGTTGATAATGCTGATAATGATGCTGATGAGGCTCGTTATGATGGCGATGCTGAATATGGTGATGATGATGATGATAATGATGCTGAGGATGATGATGATGATGCTGATGCTGACGATGCTGCTAATGCTGATGACGGTGTTGCTGATGACGATGATGACGATGATGACGATGTTGATGATGATGATGATGATGATGATGATGATGATGATGCTGATGATGATGATGCTGACGATGATGATGCAGATGACGATGTTGTTGATGCTGACGGTGGTGATGATGATACTGATGATGGTGATGGTGGTGGTGATGGTGATGTTCACGGCGGTTCGGATTGTGCTCATGATGGTGGTGCTGCCACTGATGATGATGATGATGATGGTGATGATGATGCTGGTGCTGATGTCGACGTTGCTGTTGATGATGATGATGATGCGGCGGATGCTGGTTATGATGATGATGATGACCATGCTGATGACGCTGATGCTAATGCTGATGATGATGATGATGATGATGATGATGATGATGATGATAATGATGATGATGATTATGATGATCATGATGATGATTATGATGATGATGATGATGATGATGATGATGATGATGATGATGATGATGATGATGATGCTGGCGACGATGATGATGATGACGATGCTGATGATGCGGAGGAGGATGCTGCTGATGATGCTGCTGATGCTGGTGCTACTGATGATGATGACGATGATGAGCAGGATGAGGATGCTGATGATGATGCTGATGATGATGCTGTTGCTGATGCTGATGAGGATGACGATGATTATGATGATGCTGCTGCTGCTGCTGATGATGATGATGATGTTGAGGAGGCGGTGGTGGTGGTGATGATGATGCTGATGCTGGTGCTGATGATGCTGATTATGCTGCTGCTGCTAATGATGATGCTGATGATGATGACAGGTGGCGAGGAGGATGATGTGGACTATGATGATGATGATGATGATGATGATGATGATGATGATGCTGATGCTGATGCTGATGCTGATGATGATGATGATGATGATGATGATGATGATGATGATGATGCTGATGTCGATGACGATGACGACGATGATTATGATGATGATGATGATGATGATGATGATGATGATGATGATGATGATGATGATGATGATGAGGATGATGAATAGGACAGGGATGACGATGATGATGTTGATGATACTGATAATGCTGGTGCTGATGATGATGATGACGATGGTACTGATCTGGATGATGCTGCTGATAGTGATGATGCTCACGGCGATGATGCTGCTGCTTATTATGATGTCGATGACGATGATAATGTTGATGATGCTGATGATATTGATTGATTGATTGATTGATTGCTTAATTGGTTGATGATGATGATGATGCTGCTGCTGATGCTGATGCTGATGCTGATGCTGATGATGACGATGATGATGATGATGCTGCTGCTGATGATGATGATGATGATGATGATGATGATGATTATGATGATGATGATGATGATGATGATGATGATGATGATGATGATGATGATGATGATGATGATGATGATGACGCGGTGGCTGTTGTGATGGTGATGATGATGATGCTGATTCTGATGCTGGTTTCCGCCCGCTCTTTCCGCTACTGCTCCGCCCGCTCTTTGTGCTCGGTTTCCTTGTCCTGCTCCTGCAGCCACTCTGCTCCTGCCACCGCCCCCTCTCCCGGAGAGGTCTGCCGGCTTCGCTGGCTGGCTGCCGCGCGAGGGCCACACCTCGGCGTTCGTGAGGGGGAGGATGTTCCTCTTCGGCGGGTGCCAGATGGCGGGCGACTGCTACGACGACCTCGTGGCCTTGGACTGCAGCCCAATAAAACCACGGCGTGCCGTAGACTACCCACTTGGGGGCGCGAAGGTAATCGCTCCTCGCGGTTTGGGCTGGGGATTTGTCGTTCCCAGAGGAAAGGCGAACGTGGATCAAGGCGCGTGGATCCGCGACGGGCCCCGTTGCCGTGCGGGATCGGCTCCTTCCGTCGCCAAATCAGGCGGCATCGGCCTCATGCTTCGAGGGGGTCACCTTCCTCTCGAAGCGTGGATCTGGCGCCCGTGCGCATGCTCCACGGATCCGCAATCCATGCTGGCGTGCGCCCGACACAGGGGCTTGGCATCGCTCGGACGTGTGCATTTTTCCTTCGACGAGGACCATCGAGGAGCATCCTTGACCATTTGGCGAAAAAACCACGCACGAAACCGAACAAAAACACAGGGAATGGACGTCCGAGCGATGGCAGGGGGGAGGCGAAGGGAACCGCGCCTGGCGGTCTGGACCGGGCAAGCCGTCCTCCCGCAGGGCCCGCGGCGTGAGGGCGCCGGGGTCACGAGCGCGCTCCGCACTCGGCGCGGCGCCGGGCGTGGAGTCGGGGGGCCCGGGCAGCACTGGGGCTGGGAGCACCATGGCTGTACTCTCACTCTTCGGCGGCGTGCCGACAGCGAGTAGGCTCGCAGCGCGCCCTGACCGAGCAGGGCAGCGTGCCTCAGCGTTCCGATATCAGGGCCCCCCCCAGGGGGGCCATGCTTGGAGCCGCAGCGCCCTCGACCGCAGAGCGGAGCGCTGCTCGTTTTGCGTGTGTGTGTGCGTGTGTGTGTGTGGCGCGCGCCCGCCCCCTTGTCGCGGCCGCAGCCCGACCGTGACCGCCTGCCGCTGGCGCTTCCGCCTGCGGCTGTAAAAAAAAAAGGTGTGTGTGTGTGTGTGTGCGTGCGTGCGTGCGTGCGTGCGTGCGTGCGTGTGTGTGTGTGCGTGTGTGCCGGTGTGTGTGTGTGTTGCTTGCGTGCGTGCGTGCGTGCATGCGTGCGTGTGTTATGTGTGTGTGTGTGTTGTGTGCGCTTTCTTCTCTGCCTGTCCCACTCCGCCGTGTCGCTGCGAGCGGCCGCGACGCCAGCGGTTGTCACGGTCCGATCCGATCCGATCCCATCTCCCCTAACATTTCGTGCCGATCCGACCCGACACGAACCGATTCCCTCTGCGGCCTGCAAGGCCCGAGCCCGATCCGTGATTCCCGACGATCCGATCCCGAGCAGGTTTTGGCACCGAATTCGGGCGCGACAAGACTCGTGATTCCAGGGGATCCCACTAAGCAATTCGACCCAGCTCAGCTCTGGAGGAGAAGGCGCGTGACGAAGAGTGGAAGGGTGGATGAGGAGGAGGATGATGATGAGGAGGAGGAGGAGGATCAGGAGGAGGAGGAGGAGGATCAGGAGGAGGAGGAGGAGGAGGAGGAGGAGGAGGAGGAGGAGGAGGAGGAGGAGGAGGAGGAGGGAGGAGGAGGAGGAGGAGGAGGAGGAGGAGGAGGAGGGAGGAGGAGGAGGAGGAGGAGGAGAAGGGGAGGGAGAGGCCCGTCAGGCCCGCCCCAGGGGCCCCGAAAAGGGTGTCGGAGATGGCTCCAGGACCCCCCCTCTCAACGGCAGAACTGACCCATCGCCCCCCCCCCCCCCTCGGCGTATGGCCGGACCGTGGTATAAGATCGAGGTCAGTTCGGGGAGGGTGCCCCAATTTCCCCAATCAGTGCCTTTACCGAAGGGGTCCTAGCGGAAGTTGAAGGATTTGGCGAAAGGTCCCCGCCGATTTTGGTGGCAGGCTGGGTTCCCGGGTTCCCGGTTCCGGGTTCCCGGGTTCCCGTTTCCTGTTTCGGAGGGCGGCGAGGTTCACAGGTTCCCGGGTTCCTGGTCGATCTTCTTATCGATCGGTCTCACCATCGATCGCATTACCGACTTCTCGATCGATCTCACCATCGATCTCACAATCGATCTAACTAACCCCATGCCCACGATAATAATGTACCCCCCCTTAAGTCGTTCGAGTTTTTTATCGTCGACCAATAAGAGTTTGGTCGGGGGCGCGGGGGCGCGGAGGCCGAACTTCATTATCACGGGAAAAGTTCGCCATCGAGGTTACTTCCTTCTTATGTTGAGATAACAACATCAAGCGAAGCGAACACATTGTTTCAGGATGTCTCAAGCGAAACCAATGTCCTTCTGTCTCTTTGTAGTTCTTTCTGTCTCTCTTTCTTTCTTTCTCTGTCTCTCTCTCTCTGTCTCTCTATCTCTTTCTCCTTCCTGGCCTCTCTGTCTCTCTCTCTCTCTGTCTCTCTATCTCTTTCTCCTCCTCCTCCCCCTGGCGCCCTGAACTTGTTTATCGCTGGGGTTGATTATCCTGGGAAAACGAGGCACGTGAGCTACCCTGCACGAGCAGATGAAAATTTGATATTTCATCAAGCGTTTACACATTGAATATAATAAGTTTTCAACTTTGGATTTGTGATATCTCCTTCTCCTCTCCTCCTCTTGCTCTTTCTCCTCCTACTCCTCCCTCAAGGATGTCTCAAGCGAAATAAGCAATACTTTGAATATGTCTCAAGCGAAACAGACAAATATTTCGAGGATGTCTCAAGCGAAACAAGCAATTCGTTGAGGATGTCTCAACCGAGACAATCCTCAAGATATCTTTGGCTTTTTCCTCTTGATATCTCTTTATGCTGGCTCTGGCGGGCAACTTTTATTATCTCCCCGAAAACCCCGAACTTTACTATCCCTGGGGGTTTATTCTCGTGGGTTCAGGGTTATCAATCTCACACTCGATCTCACTAGAGATCGCATGGGCGATCTCGCGATCGATCTCATTATCGATCTCATTGAATCGATTTTACCCTCGGTATCAGGATCGACCTTACACTCGTCCTCACTATCGATTCCACTATCGATCTCATTATCGATCTCACAATCGATCTCAAGATCCATGTATCATTTTCAAATCATCCACTGATTGGGGTTTTCTCAGGTGTATTTTCCTTGTGTTTGTCGGATGTTCTTGTGCATCCTGGGGGAGGGTGCCCTCGAATGTTCTGCGGAGGGTTATTGTTTTTGAAGGATGTTCTTCTGTCCTAGGTCCGGCCGTACCAAGGGCAGGGATGGGTGGGTAGATGCACCGAAATGGGTACTCAAGAGAGGAGACACCACACCGACCCCCCACACTTGGCGTTTGCTGAACAGCCCTGGGCGTTTTCCAAACAGCCCTGCCATGTGCGGTCATTTCTTTCGGCGCACTTCCTGGAGGGCTTCGCCTGTCTTGATGTATAAACATCACTGCCCTGTCCAGTCACTTCCTCCGTCGCACTTACTTCCTGGAGGGCTTCGCCTGTCTTGGTGCATCTTCTGCAGGTGCCCTCTGCCCTCGACGATCAATGCAGAGAAAGCGTGTTGCCAAACCATTTCCAGATGTCTAAACATGTTCAAGACATATCTCAAATATGCAAAACACATGTTTTAGCAATTTGAGAGCACGTTTCAAACATTCTGTACATGTTCAATTCAATGATCGGATTGTTACGGTGTCAATTGTCGTGGCATCCACGAAGATATGGGAACATGTGGGGAACCCTGGGACTCGTGTCGATTTATTTGTGTGTCCCAGCGGCCCCTTCAAGATTCCTCGTGGCAGGACTTCTGAGATCCAGCCCGCATAGCAAGGACGGGCAACCTCCCAAGGGTGATCGTTCCATCTTTGCGCCCCTCTTGGCTCCTCTCCTCAGCGACTCTCGCTGGCCAGCCTCGTGCGAGAAACGCTGCCGTGGCCCTGCCAAGGCCCTCGCGTCCTGACCGCACACCCTTCTGGTTCGGGGGCGGAAAAGAGGGGGGTGATGACTAGGGGGGGGGGATATCATGGCGTGGGCCATGATGTTTCCCCAGATTTCATGGCGCCTCTTCTTATTTCATCACGTCCCTGGCCCCCCGCTGGGCCGCGCACGTGCCGCCGGCCATGATTTGCCCCCCCCCCCCCCCCCCCCTCTTGGACACCCCCCTCTTGACCGCACACCCTTGTGGCACGGGCCAGCTGCATCGCATGTGTCCACTGCACTGGGCAGACAGCGCACTGCGGGTGGCGACGCGCCTCTCCTGCGCCAGCGACCCCCGCCGGCAGCGCCTGCTGCCACCGCGCCCCAGCGGCCCGCCGCCCGCACGCGGCGGTGCGGCGGGCGGCGGGCGGCGGTGCGGCGGGCGGCAGCCGACGCCGGCGGGCGGCGACGGCCAGAGGTGAGTCGGGCGTGCCTCTCCACAGGAGGAGTACAGTCAAAAACCCTGATAAGGACGCGCGACTTTGCTCAGGGTGCCCTTGCGTCCTTGCTCTTCCTTGCTCTTGCGGCTCGTCCTTGGCCTCTTTCGTCTGGGTTTTCGTCGTCCGCCGCCCCAAAAATCCCAACTTCGGCCTCCAAGGGTCTTGCGTCCTTACCGCGCGTCCTTATTAGGGTTTTTGACTGTACTGAGAAAATGGCAAGAAATGGTATGGGGGCGATTTTCCGACTGCTGAGTATTTCGGAGCATGTTTTTTGAGTATTTTCCTAGGCTTCCTCCGACATCCGCCTCTAGGAGGCCATGCCCGACCTGAGGCCAGAGGAGGGCGAAGGGCGGGCGGTCGAACGCCAGCGCAGGAGACGGCCGACCCGTGCCCCTCCGAGTGCGGCGGGCACGGCGCGTGCGTGGATCAGCAGTTCTGCCAGTGCTCCGCCGCCGGCTTCACGGGCCACGACTGCCTGCAGCCCCTGGCCTGCAGGCGCGGCTCTCGGGGGCGTCGACCGGGGGCGGGGGGGGAGCTGGTAGGGAAGGGTGGGGGGTTTCTACGAAGGGCCTAGGCGACTCGTCTTCCTGCTCTCTCCTCCTCCTCCTCCTCCTCCTCCTCCTCCTCCTCTTCCTCCTCTTCCTCCTCCTTCCTCCTCTCCTCCTCCTCCTCCTCCTCCTCCTCCTCCTCCTCCTCCTCCTCCTCCTCCTTTCCTCCTCCCCCTCCACCTCCTCCACCTCCTCCTCCCCCTCCTCGTGTCGCCTACGGCCCCGGGGGAAACCGTGGAGGAAGGGGCTTCAGCCGCCAGAGAGCCGGGCCCTGACCCAGGGGAACAAGCAATGACGTCAGCAACCAAAAGACTCGCAGGTCCGCGCGGATTCCTCGTATCGGCGCTGGGGCCCCCTGGCGGCGCCTCGGGCGCCGCTCCTGGCGCGTTCCGCGCGCCAGGGAGGGGGCCCTGGCGTCGATCCGGGAGATCCGCGCGGACCTCCGAGATTTTATGTTGATGTCATTGCCTGTTCCCCTAGGGAGGGAATGGGCGTTTGCCGCCGGAGAGCCGAGCTAGGACCCGAACACCAGGTCGGGAGGTTCAGGGGCAACGTCAGTCAGGAGAGAGACAACAAACACATACAGACACAATGAGTCGTCGCTTCCCCAGGAAAAAGAGGGGGAAGCACTATGGAAAGTGGTGTGTGGGGGGAACGAACATCAAGGAAGCATGGGAAAATATGGGGGATCCTGGGACTTGTGTAGATTTATTTAATCGCTTCGCTCATTCCGCCGGCCCGTATTGTGCCATCGCAGGCGTTTGCTTGCGCGTTCGTGGCCTCTTGGAGCCTCGGTGGGGCCGTTTGGGGCCTCTTGGCGCCTCTTTTTAGGCCTCTTGGAGAACTCGGGAGGCCTCCAGGGGGCCTCCTGAGCTCTCGTGACGGTCTCTTGGGGGGCTTTCGGCGGGCTCTTGGCGGTATTTGTTGGTCCTCTTGGGGCCTGGGGCCTGACGTTGTTGGTCCTCTTGGGGCCTCACGGGAGCTTATTGGGGCGTCTTGGGGGTGTCTTGGAGAGTCTCTTGGGGCCTCTTTCGGGGTCCTGGGCGCCTTCTGGGGCGGAGGGCTCGATTTTTCAGTTCTCGGTTCCCTTCTTGAGCCCCTCTTGGGCCCGTCTTGGGGCCTCTTGGTCCGCCTTGGGCAGCACTTGGGCCGTCTGGGGGGCGCTCTTGGGCCGCTCCGGGGCCGTCTTGGGAGCCTCGTGGGCCGTCTTGGAGCAGTCTTGAAGGCCTCTTGGGCCCTCTTGGAGCGTCCGGAAGCGAAAAGGCCAGAACGCAAAAAAACATCGAAAAAACCAATGAAAATCAACGATTTTGGCAACTTGGGGCCCTCTTCGGAGGCCTCTTGGAAGGCCCTTGGAGCGTCTTGGAGGCCTCTTGGGCTGTCTTGGGGCCATCTGGGGCGTCTTCGGGCGATCTTTGGCCGTCTCGGGCCTCTCTTGGACCGTCTAGAAAGCTTCTCGGGGCCCTCTTGGACCGATCTGGAGCCTTCTTGGACTCCGAAACAGAACTCCGGCATCTCTGACCCGACCTTGCCGGGGACTTGCCGGGACCTTGCCGGGGTACTTTTCGTCCGGGGACCCCCAGGGGCCGCCCCGCGCGCGCGCACTAGAAATACTGTTAACCAGGTACCGGAGATCTTAGCATGCCCTGTCAGAGCCCCGAATCATCAGGGGTAACTCAGGCCAGGGCTAACTCGGGTTCGTTTTCCGGGAATCCAAACCCGAGTTACCCCAGACCCGAGTTACCCCGGATAACTCGGGCGTCCAGAGCCCCGAATCATCAGGGGTAACTCGGGTCAGGGCTAACTCGGGTTCTTTTTCCGGGAATCCAAACCCGAGTTACCCCGGACCCGAGTTACCCCGGATAATTCGGGCGCCCAACCCTGGCCCGTTGGGCCGGCGAATTTGTGTGTCCCTGGGCCCCTTCATCCGGAGGGACTGCACCGACCTTCAGAAATCGCCCACTCCTCGCCGATGATCGGGGCCTGGGAGCCCCAGCCTGCCCGGCATAACGCGGCGCGGCTTGTGGCCCTCTCCTCCTCCTCCTCCTCCTCCTCCTCCTCCTCCTCCTCCTCCTCCTCCTCCTCCTCCTCCTCCTCCTCCTCCTCCTCCTCCTCCTCCTCCTCCCTCCTCTCTTGGCTCAAGTCCTCGGCCTCTGGGGGCCCAGGACTGTCGCACTGCCGTCCAGGGAAGGCCCTGGGTGCTGGGGCTCGAGCAGGCCCCCCGCGGCCTTTTCGGCAATCAAGACAGCGCATTTGGCGTCCGCGCCCTTGTGCGCGCCTGGGAGGCGCAGGATTCACAGGCCGCGATGGCCAGGCAGCAGAAGTACGTCATGTGCAATCGCAGGGGTTGTAAGGGCTGGACTTGGTGCAGTACTGGGGCTAGGCATTGTGATCAATGTGGTGGCCGCTTCAAGTCACAGCAGTATGTACCACCTGGAGGCGCCCGTGGCAGCGCCGCCAGCAATCCAGGTGCCGCGGGCGGGGCAGGGTCGTCGTCCCAGCCGCCGTCACCGCAGCCCACAGACAAGCCTGGCCGCTGGCGAGGACGGGACCGATCCAGAGGGCCCAGTCACCCGCCAGGTCTTCGGCAGCCAGGATTAATCACCTTCGCTCACGGTGAAGGACAGCAGCTACAAGAAGAAGACCCCGTGGCCTTGGCACAGGCGCAGGTCACGTTCTGGAAGAAGTGGAAGCCCAACGGTGAAGAGCACAATGCAGCGTTGGGCAAACTCAAGCAGGCCAGGGCCTCCGTCCTGGCAACAAAGTCATTGGATCAACAGGCGCAATCTCTCGCGGACCAGCTGGAGACCCAGCGCCAGAAGTACGTCACACAGACCACGGAGATCAATATGCTCGTCGAGACCATCCTGGAGGTCAGTGGGCGGCACTCCAAACTCGTCGAGGAAGCCAAGACCACCCAGCAGGATACCCAGAGCCTCGAGAGTCAGTACAACATGGCCAAGCAGGCCGCCATGCAAGCGGCCACAAAGGATGAATACCTACTATCGACCTTGCAGGGTGTACTCGCAGCTCGCATGCCTCCTGGCAGCAAGGCGCCGCCCGACCTCTGCTCGAAGGTGGCTGAGCTGGCCGCCCACTTCGACGACCTCACCGCCCAGCACGCGCAGGCCCAGGAGCCTGGGCCGCGGCCGTGGGATGAGGAAGGCTTCCCTGCAGTCGGCCAGTGCCCAGAGGACGAGCCTGAGGGGGATGCTGGTGCGCGCGGCGTCCGCCCTCAAGTCCGTGGCCAGCGGCATGGCGGAGATCCAGGGCGAGAGCGGCCCAGAGGCCAAGCGGGCGAAGGCGGCGGCAGCATCCTTCGGGGTGGCCGCCGCCGCAGCCGCGGGCGCCACAGGGTCAGCTACGTCGGGCTCCTGACGGAAACCTCTACACGTTTGCCACGATCAACGGGTCGTGCTGGGGAGCAGTGAAGGCCTTTGTTGAGTCAGCCACTGCAGAAGATTTAACTTTTATCTGCGCTCAAGAGTGCAAACTTGAGGCAGGGGATAGCATCACGCGTCAGATTCAATGGTGCTTCGCACGCGGCTGGCTTGCCCATATTTCGCCAGCCGCCCGCAGCCCCTCGGGTGAACCAGTCTCGGGGGTGGCGGTTTTAGTTCGGGACGGCTTGGACCTGGGGGTCCAGCCCCTTCCCTTCCCTCCCGAGGCGGACAGCTCCAGGCTCGCTGGAGTTGCCATCGAAGCGCCAGGGGTCCCAGCCTTCGGTTTGGTGAGCGCTTATTTTCAGGCTTCTGTGGGTCTCAACGAGACCAACCTAAATCTGCTGGCCACCATCGGCCAGACCCAAGATCTCGCAGGCAAGCCTCTCATTGTCGCTGGTGGTTTTAATTTGCAGCCAGAGAGGATTCAGAAAGGCACGGATTTTCTCACTCGTGCTACGATGTCGGTTGCGGCGCCCGCCGCGGCCACCTACTACACTAAGAAGACGAAGTCGACCATCGACTTCTTTATACACAGCCAGGCCTTGGGGCCCTGGCTGAACCCCCCTCGCTCCGTGGCCTCCTATCCTCTCTCCCCCATCGGCCTGTTATCATGACCCTGCGAGTGCAGGACAACTTTGAGATCCCGACGCTCCTCAGGCCCCAGAAGCTCCCCACTAGGACGCCCATAGGACCTCAGGTACCGTCGGTAAGTTGGCATCAGACAGCTGCAGTGGTAGATTATGCTATCCAACTTCTCGGAGATGCTTCACAGCCCCTCTCCGACCAGCAGCGCGCCACCGTCCTGGACCACGTGTACTTCACCCTCGTTCAGGACCTGGAACACACACTCAGTGTGAAAACGGACACCCCCCCTCAAACCCAGCAGAACTCCCAGGGCCCACCCCCCCAGATCCACTGGGTCTCGGCGGGTGCTAAGTGTTCCCAGGGACGCAAATGCTGGGCGGCGTACTCCAGGCCCCTTCGGTGGCTCCAAAATCGGTTGCAAGGATTTCGGCGCAGCATCCAGGATGAAGATCTCCAGTAATTTCGGGGCACCCTGGGCAGTTTGGAGGACAGCCCAGATAGCTTTAACACCTCTCCTGCCCTGGCCCAGGGGCTGCAGGAAGTTCGTATAGCTGCGGGACTCCTGCATGAGGATTTCCAGGCGCAGAGGCTCAACGCTGCGCTGGGCATCCAGATTTTAGATGATCTGCTCGATCCGGTCGGCAAGATCATCGACTCAGAACTTGCCGCCGGGCGCAGCAAGGACGGGCAGGAGTGGAGGGATTGGGTGCAATCTTCTATGAGAGGTGGAGTGGGGTGGGCTCACAGGTGGACGAAGAAGCTCGAAGCCTGGAGGCCAGTCTCTGTTGTGCATCGCCAGCGTTTTTCTGGGCGCCCGCAGCGCATCCTCCAGGTTGAGGCCGACAGACTCACCGAGATTTGGAACGTCCACCCCGAGGCCCCTCCGCAGTGGGTCCCCCCGACCGACGACAGAGTGGCCTCGGGGCCCATCGCCCCCGAGCGCCTTCGCAAGGTCTCTCGAAGTTTTCCGCGCAGTACGGCCTCAACGTGGGACGGAGTGCATCCACGTCATTTCGCCATGCTCGACGACGATCAAGCCGACCCAGTCTGTAAGTTGATCGAACTTATTGAACAGATAGGGCACATGCCATCGCAGTTGCAGGGTGCGATCTCTACTCTTATGCTCAAACTCAAACAGCAGGAAGATATCAATGCGCAACCTTCCTTTCGGTCGATTGGCATGCTCCCTGCTCTTTATCGTGTGTGGGCTCGTCTGCGAAGGTCCGCGGCTCGAGAGTGGGAATATCACCACAAAGAACGTACATAGCACACCAGGCGGGGCACTCCATCGTGGAACTTGTCTATGCGCAGTCGCTCGAATGTGAATATCATGCGTGTCGAGAGGAACCCCAACACCCCGCCCAAGTTCTATGGGACCTCTCGAACTGCTATGAACATGTTGACCGTGAGTGCCTCGCCAAGCGTGCTGTTGCTTCTGGTTCCCCGTGCTGCCTGCTCCGCATCATTCTCTTTCAGTACGGAGGTTCCAGGTTTGTTGCCATGCAAGATGTGTGTGTTAGTGTCGGCAAGGCGTGGAGGGGTCTTATTGCTGGGTGCGGGTGGGCGACGTACCTGGTGCAAATGTATGTTCTCGCCCCCCTTGACCAGTGGGCGGCCGCGCACAGCCACGTCCGCCTTGCGATGTTTATCGACGACCTGTTGCTGCAGTGCCATGCCAGGAGCTATGATGCAGTGATCCGCCAGATGAGTTCGGCGGCCAGGTCTCTCGCCACCTGTATCCAGCAAGAGTTTAAGTGCCAGATTGCTAACAAGAAGAGCCAGGTTTTAGCCTCCAGCCAGAACCTCCAAAACACGCTTCGGAAGACCCTGGGGACGCTCGCGGGGCCCTCCACGGACATCTCAGGACCCAACCTCGGCATCGAAAGCGGAGCTGGACGACCCCGAAGGAGATGGAGGAGAGGAAGGAAGCTCTTGGAACGCATCAACAAGATCAAGAGACGCATGACTCGCATAAAAATGATCAAACATGCTGGAGGTAACGGGAATAAACTGTATAATACTGGCCTGGCGGCGGCCACCACCTTCGGAGTGGAGGTCACGGGTATCAACAACACGATGCTCGTGCAAGCCCAGTCTCAGTACTTAGCCGCGGCAGGTCCTAGGTGTGCCTCGAGGAGCCGTACTCTCGCCCTCCTCATCCTCCAGGACCCCCTGTGGAAAGCGGGCCTCGGGCCCGCCCTCATGTGGCACCGTCTCGTCTGGGAGGCCCAAACCCAACCCGACAAGGCCGTGGCCAGCCTCCAACAGCTCAGCCTCTGGGGTGAGGCTATCTTACCGAGGGTCTCCAAAGTGTGGGGCTCCTGCAGGGGCCCTCTCAGTGCGGCGGCCCTTTCGTTGGCCATGGTGGGGTGGGCGTTCCAAGGGCCCTTTAGGTTCGTGACTCCCGCAGGACTTGAGTACCCCCTCCCAGGAACCTCCCCGGCCTACATTGCCAAGCAGCTCGAGATTGCCTGGCGCGACCGCCTCGCAGAGCGGGCCGCTACCAAGATGGGGTTTCAAGGCGAGCAGCTCGACGTTGCAGCACTACGCACTGTCCTCAGGTCAGCCGACTTGACCAAGCAGCAGTGCGGCGCGCTGCTGGCCGTCGCTACACAGAGCATCTGGACTATGGAGCGCGCCCTGTCTGCGGGATATGATGTGCCCCAAGGTTGCCCATGTGGACACCGCAAAAATGACCTCCAACATCGCCTCCTGGAGTGCCCCAAGACCGCCAATGCCAGAGAAGAGTTCACTGGTGGGGAGCTTTGCAGGTTGAAAGACCCGATCTCTGGCACCTCCCCCCCCACCTCGGGTTCCAGTTTAAGCCCGATTTCGTGGGCTCCCCCCCTCCTGGTACTGGCCTTGAGGCCGGCCAGTTCCGGTGTCGAGACCCCCATTTAAGGCCTGAGGAAGCGTTCAAAGGGGATGTTTTCATAGACGGCAGCTGTGCGAACCACGGCCACTATGATTTCAACGTTGCAGCGTTTGCCGTTGTGTGCATGGTCGATGGCGATGAGTTTGCCACCTTTAGTGGTCGCGTGGGGGCCCTGGGATCCCAAACCTCGGGGGCGGCTGAACACCTCGCGGCCGTGGCGGCTGGCAGACTCTCGAGTCAAGTCGCCAACGTTTTTATTGATTATGAAGGAGTGCTGCAGCTGCACGGGGAGGCAGGTTTCCCCCGCCGAAACCTGTGGTCTGGTTGTAGAGTTCTCGCGGGAGGGGGTTATTTCGACCTCGGCCCCAAGCTCCAGAAAGTCAAGGCTCACCAAAATCTGGAGCTGCTGCCACCCGACAGCGAAGAATACCGCATAGCTAGAGGTAGCGATGCCGCCGATAGGATTGCCAAGGCCGCCTCGAACCTTGGCAGCCACCCCAGCATTAATGTGACAGAGCAGTATCAGAACGACACTGCTCTGCTCAAGAAATACCTTCGTTATGTTTCCAAAGCCCTTGGAGAGTGGCCTGCGATTGCCCCTCGTAGGAACAAGGCGCTGACCAAGCCTGCTAAGAGTCTCTTCCCCCTCGGGGGCTGCCTCGGCCTTGGCTTCTTGGGGCCTAAGCGCGCGTGACCCCGCGCCCCCTGCTGCCCCTCCTCCTCCTCCGAGGCCTCCCCCTCCCGCCTCTGTGGACCCTGAGCCCCGCAGGGCCCACCAATGGCACCAGAGAGGCTCCAGCTGGCGATGTGTTGCATGCAGACAGAGGTGTGGAAGCACCCAGGCCAGACAACGTCGCGAAAAGGAGGTCTGTCCTGGGCATTGCGCGCTGCACAGTGATTTGCTCACCAACCCGAAAGGACACCTCCCATATTTCTTTGGGTTTGCGGATGACACCATCCCCTCGAGTATCATCCTGTGCTGGAGGTGCGGCTGTTTTGCCGAAGGTACTCGAGGCACAGGGCTTCAAGCTATATGCCCAGGATTCCCCGCCGAACCACGGTCGCAAGCTGCAACGACAGCGAGCCATGGAGGGTAGACACCCCAAAGGTGCGGCCCGATCCCCGATAATTTTGAAAGCTCCCATTCCCTTGGCACAGCTAGCAGAGGAACTAGCTGAGCCTGACGCTGCCAGCTTCAATGTAAGCCAGCCGAGCAGTGTCGCGAGCTAGCCAAGGTTATTATTATCCGCACCGTGCTTCACGAAAGCCCCAACATAGGGGATGCGGATTACACGCCCATGACGGCGAACCCACCCACAGTCAGAGCGCTGGTCCTCCCTCCTCTCTCCTCCTCTCTCCTCCTCCTCCTCCTCCTCCTCCTCCTCCTCCTCCTCCTCTTCCTCCTCTTCCTCCTCCTCCTCCTCCTCCTCCTCCTCCAGCAGCCTGGCTCGAGGGAGCAGGCCGCGTCGCCGATGCCTCGGCGATGCGGCCGGCTTCGGGGTCCGCATGTATTCTCGGGTCCATTCGGGTATACCGTTTCATGGCCCGATAGGGATCCAGGGTCCGAACGCTTACTCGAGAGCATTTTGATGCACTCCTTATACTTTGCGTGGCCCCCGTAGTGAGCTTCACCGAAGGCCCCAGTGGCAGGGCCGGCATGGTTTCTTCACGAAGCTAAAGACAAGGAGTCGCGAAGCCAGGGCTCCTGGAGTTCGTTTGCGCTTCGGAGTCTGGGCCGGCCAGGGCATCATGAGCTCGCGGCGCAGTCGCTCAAGCAGTGGCGAAGCGTCTTGGCGTGCCTATAGCCCTACCAAACAATGTTCTAAGAACCTTTTGTGGTTTCCACGAAATGTTTTTAGAACATGCCTGATTGATATTGTCTTGTTTTAACACATCGGGTTTATGTTCTAAGAACGTTGTTTTTGTTCTTAGAACATTTATGGGTTCTAAGAACATTTCGTGGTAGGACTATAGGAATGCCGGGACGGTCGGTCCATGCTCAAGTTGCGCCGCCTCCTGCCTGGATTTCCGCGCGCGGCGCTGGAGATATGAATCGTTCCTCAAAGTGTCCCTCCTCCTGCTTCTTCCTGCCCCCGCCCTCGTGTTCTGTGCTGGGTACCTCGTCACCTCCGAGTGTTTGATGTGAGTCGTGCGGGTGTGTTTGCCGAGCCTGGTGCGACGCGCTCAGGCGAAGGTGTCCAGGGGTACTGCGGACCCCCCCCCTAACGAGCTCGAGTGTGTTGGAGCGGTGTTGTTGCTAGTTTCCACGCGTGTAGAGTAGGCTGGGTTCTTCGCCAGGATAATTAGTTATCATTGTTTTCTGCTCTTCTTCTTCTTCTTCTTCGTCTTCTTTCTCTTTGTTATTCTTCTCATTGTTCTTCTTCTTCTTCCTCTCTCTCTCTCTCTCTTGTCTCATTCGCTGTTTTTTGATTCATCTGGCGTTCACTATCTGGCTGCCTCCTGGGGGTGAGTGGCCACTCCCGGAAGGTGAACAAGTAGGATGGAACAGTGACCCATCAAACCACCTGTGCCCGGAGGCCCGGAGGGCTGGCGGGATTATCGCGTTCTCTCCCTCCCTCCCTCGTTTGCGCGCCCCTCCCGAGGCCCATTTCGATCCGATCGATCTGAATCGATTCCGGCTGGCCCGATCTGATCCGATTCCGACAGTCCGACGGTCCGACGCGGCCCGATGTTCACGTGAGGTAGGTCTGCACATTGGCGCGGCCGATTAGATCCAGTTTCGCACGCCGATCTATCGGCGAAGGATTGCCGATCCCAGGACGATGTGTCCGCCCGCTGAGCCAGTCATCCCTGTCGATCCCCTTCATTTCCCCATCCGACGCTGACTGGGTCTGGCCCAGCCGCAGCCATCGCATTTAAGAGGAAGGGGGGCCGAGGTTCCGGAGGTAGAGGGAATGGGCATGGGGGGTGAGGAGGGATGAGGAGGGAGGGTGAGGGAGGAGGAGGAGGAGGAGGAGGAAGAGGAAGAGCAAGAGGAGGAGGCGGAGGAGAAGGAGGAGGAGGAGAAAGACCAGTGTAAACCAACGACGCATCAGCGATGTTGAAATCTACTCTCCTTCCATACACGTTTACACCATTGCGGGAGTGCCTCCGTTGGAAGATAAGTGTTTGAGAATCCGCAATCTTGCCAGCACACCTTTCTTGGGACCTCAACCGCGCGACTCAACGTGTTTGTGACGTTTCGACAACCTAAATCGTACCAGACAACGTTCCTTGGACATGAGCGCGCGCGAATCAACGTGACTGTCGCGTCCTGATAACCCCCAATCGTGCCAGAACTTCGACGCCGCCGCGAATCAACGTGGCCGATGCGTTTTTGACAACCCCCAATCGTGCCAGAACGCCATTCCTTGGACTTCGACGCCGCGAATCAACGTGACCGATGCGTTTTTGCCAATCGTAAATCGTGACAGAAAACCATTCCTTCGACCTCAACGCCGCGAACCAACCTGGCTTCTTGTGTCCTGACAGCCCTCAATCGTGCCAGAGCACCAGTCCTGGCATTTCAACCATACGAATCCAAATCATCATCACTGCTGTGTTCCTTTGAAACGGTTATGCGCTGTGCTACGTCGAGAGCTACATGTTGAACATGGATTGCCCTCCATCCTCCAAGCTGTTCCAAACTTGTAACACGAATGTGCGTGGCGCTAAGGCGAGAGCCACATCTTGAAACCGGCCCGCCCTCCATCCTTGAAGCGGTTGCAACATTTTGACACAAATGTGCGGGGCGCTACGGCGAGAGCCATATTTGGAGACCGCCCGCCCTCCATCCGTGAAGCCGTTGCACAGTCAAGCTTCAGGACGATACATGGCTGGGATGTCTCGGGCGGAGCGCCTGGCTTGCCCTACCAACGCATCTGGGGGTGGAGCAGGGAGAAGTTAGTCGTACGGAACCGTTATGAAGGAGGAGGAGGAGGAGGAGGAGGAGGAGGAGGAGGGAGGAGGGAGGAGGGAGGAGGAAGGATGAGGAGGGCGGAGGAGGAGGGAGGATGATGATGTTTGTGCCGCTTTTTCTTTTGGTTCGGTCAGCTTTCCTAGCCCGATGCCGACCAGTCCTGCCCCCCGCCCGCCAGGGGGGGAGGTGGAAGAGGAGGAGGGGACGAGGAGGAGGCATGAGGCATGAGGTGACTTATGGTTATGCCGCTTTTTTGCCACTTGAGGCCCCCAAGTGATCCTCGTCTTCTGGTCGTCGGGCCTAACTTGGGTCTCTGGCGGACGTTCGGGATGATCCGGGCAGGTCCAGAGGGTCCTCGGCGAGGCGCAGCCGATGGAAGGCATCCCGAGGCTGGAAAACCGTCGAGGACCGTCGACTTCGTCCGCAAACCTCGACCGTCGAAACGTCAATGTCCCTAACGCTCCCGCTCAGCCCTGCCACGCGTCCGATGCTTGTCCTTCGGCGGCGAGCCCGGGGGAGAAGTGCGAAGGGACGGGCCTTCTCAGAAGGTTGGGAAGTTCCCCGACCTTCTCTGAGACGTGTTCTGAGCCTCCCCCGAAGACGCAGAGAACTTCTCAAAAGGCCGGAGGGCTTCTGAGAAGCCCCGCCGCCTTCTTAGAAGGCCTTCTCCTCTTCCTCCTATCCCTCCTCCTCCTCCTCCTCCTCCTCCTCCTCCTCCTCCTCCTCCTCCTCCTCCTCCTCCTCCTCCCCCCCTCGCTTTCCCCACCCCGTCGCTCGCCGCCCCCTCCTCTCCTCCTCCTCCTCCTCCTCCTCCTCCTCCTCCTCCTCCTCCTCCTCCTCCTCCGCCTTCTCGTCGTCCCTCCTCCTCCTCCTCCTCCTCCTCCTCCTCCTCCGCCTTCTCGTCCTCCTCCTCCTCCTCCTCCTCCTCCTCCTCCTCCTCCTCCTCCTCCTCCTCCTCCCCCCCCTCGCTTTCCCCGCCCCCGCCGCTCGCCGCCGAAGACTTGCCCCTGCCCGCCAGGCAGGACTGCGGCCCCCATGGGGCGTGCACGCAGGACGGGCGGTGCCTCTGCGATGCTGACTGGGCGGGGCCTGCGTGCTCCCAGCAGCAGCAGCAGCAGCAGCAG